TGTATTGGGATTTTTTTTTTACCAAAGACATGTAGCAGAATCCATGTTGGCCTAACTGTATGACTAACTTTGAGTTTGTCGGATATTTTTTGTAACCGAAAGTAGAAAATATCTTTTTTTTTTTCGTTCATATCACAAAAAAAAAAACAAAAACGCAGTGGTGATCAAAAACGTAAAAAAGAAAGCTCTATTTGTGTGAAAAAAAGGACATAAATTCTGTTTGGCTACAGCATTGCATGACCGTGCGATTACCAGTTAAAATAGTGCAGCCCCGAATAGCAAAAAATGGCTTGATCAGGAAGGGAAGGGGGGGGGGTAAATCTTCTGGAGGGCAAGTGGGTTAAACAGCCCCTAAAAATGAGAAACAATTGCTTTGAAATGACAGAGCTCAATTCTTTAAGGACCCGTGGGTATATTATTTATTTATTACAGGTACTTATATGCCATCCGGTCCAGGTGCTTTATTCACCTTTATTGTGTCTAAATATTTCTGAATCATATCAATTGTGAGCCAATGTGGATCATCCATGTGAGAGCTGTGGGCCAATCACAGCTCACCAGGGAGGGAAGCAGAACTGTTATGAAACAGACTGATTCATAACAGCTTTGCTAGCATTGTGATCATGTGATCACATGACCACCTGGTCTCGTTCACTGGGATCTGCATTCCACTGTGTCTAGTGGACATAGCTGATGTGGGGGAAGGGGGGGGGGTGAACGGCACCCCCCTGTGTTGATACAGCCAGAGTGACGTACGGGTACGTTGCTTTGCCTGTAGCTGCTGCCTGTCCGCAGTACATTGCGGGAGGTTGGGCAGGAAGCGGTTCAAAATAATCTGGATGTGTTCCTAAAGGCATAGTGTATGGTATTACCAGTAAAAACACCAGGGTTGTTGATTCAGGAAATATCCGGTTTTCTAACAGTATGAAGAAGGATTTTTTTTGCCTCCTGAAACAAATTGAACCACTCTATATAAGTTTCTTTTGCCTTACTCTGGATCAACTGTGGGTTCTGCATATGGATTTTTTCTTTTTTCTATTGGTTGAACTCAATGAAGTTGTGTCTATTTTCAGTAAATAGCTATGTCTCCATACAATAGATTTACAAAAGTGGTGCACTCAGAATCTGGTGCAGCTGCATATGGTAACCAATCAGCTTCCATCTTCAGATTGTTCAAGTAAGGTTTGGGAATAAAACCTGGAAGCTGATTGGTTTCTATGCAGAGTTGCACCAAATTTTGCACACTCCAGTTTTAATAAATAACCCCCCCCCCCCATGTGACCAGTTCACAAACAGCTTTTGTATTAGTTTACATCAAATCTTTATTTCAAATTGTATTTATTTTGGTTTCTGAAGAAGAACACAGGAATAATAAAAAAAAAGAAAAAACACAAAACCAAACATCAAAAGCTAAAATTAAAAAACAAAATCTCTGCCCCACCACCTCTTGTGTTAGAAAAATAGGTTTAAAGCTCGACTCAATCTGTCCATGCTCCAGACCTGCCCTCTATGTTATCTTCTGCCATTACCAGCTGGTCCTCTTCCAAGTTGAAAAATGCTCTGTGGCATTCAACCCATCCCTTCAAGGCCAGGGCATCACATTGGGTGTGTCATAATATTGACCTGGTAAAAAGTTGTGAAGATGGAACTGAGATTATCATGTGACTGCAGTCAGTGGTGTATTTAGGTTTAGTGCTGCCCTAGGCAACACAAAAGATGGGAGCCCACCCTCCCCGCAGAGAGAGCCAGACACCAACCAACACCACTCCCCCCCACCCGAGAGAGCCTTCCACTACCACCACCCTCCATACACTCCACGCCCCCCCAGCGAGAGAGAGGCACTCACCTTCACAGCTCCAGACATCCCCTGTAATGAGAGTCAGGCTCTGCATACACCATCAAGCAGCCCGCAGCCTCTCTCAGATCCCAGCTGATCCCCATGCTGCGTGTGTCCCTTATTCCATCTCTTCTTCCAGGGGGCAGTGCTGCCCCCCTTGAAAAATGCCACCCTAGGCAAATGCCTTGTTTGCCTTGTGGTAAATACACCACTGACTGCAGTTCTTTGAAGAACCGAGGACCACGCTTCCCCAGAGAAGAGGACCAGCCAGATGACAGCTGAAAAAAATGTATTCAAACTTATAGTTTAAAACAATTACATGTAGAGGGGAGCTCCAGGGTAGAGCTGAGGAGGTGGAAGAAAGACATGAGGTTTGTTTTAAAGTGTAAATGAAGGCAAAGCTTTTTTTTTTTGGATAGAGTGTAGAAGGGATTAGAACATCTGTAAGATCTTTATTGCTGTTTTTGCCCCCAATTAGGGAGATTCACCCTCCCTATTTACTGTTATCACCAAAAATGAAAGAAAGTCTCAAATTCTGAGCGGTCACCAGAATAGGAATACAGGGGAAATCTTTCCAATGGGGACACTTCTTCTGATGACAGCTAGACACTGCCTCATGTTGGAGGGATTTCCTCTCACCTCCAGTTTGGTTATGGGACAGGAATGAAAGGAAATCTCACCAATGGGACACAAATGGCAGACAAAAACCTGATGGGGGTTATAGATTTCCCTTACGCTATCCAAAATTAAAAAAACAAAAATAAAAAATATGTTGGCTTCAGTTCTACTGAAGGCAAAGTGTCAACAGCACATAGCATAATGGCACTCTACCTAAATATAGTGTAAATAACATTCATAAACCACAAATAATAACTCAATATGAATATTTGTCTTTAATAATATGAGTACAGAATAAAAATGTCTTGAGTGCGAATAACACACCTCTTATAGTAACAATAATTATTAGTATGTATTTTAGCTAGTCAAAGAATTATGAAATTTCATAAACAAGCAATTTAATTAATACAAAATGGAATATAATATCAATTCTAATAAAAGGTTAGCAAAAAAGTATCTATATACTGTACCTTTTTTGCTTTGCTATTATTCCGATAAACAATTATAAACATATTTGCCTGAGCTTAACCTAGAAGGAAGATTTGTGTTAAAAAAAGAATGTATTCTTCATTTTGATGTCCTATGAACCATATACATAAAATATCATTAGAGACCATTCATTATGCTAAGTGAATATTCTTCAGTCACTCAATGCCATTGTCTTGTGGATTTTATAATTTTTTTTGAATCCTGTACTTTTATATTCTGTGAATTGCTGATGGATTTTGGTAGTCTCCATGCCAGGGTATTTGATGTTCTAAAATGAATACCTACTTTTCACAGGAAACAGTTACAAAAAGGGAAGCATTAATATACAAAGCTCAAAACAACATTCCCTTACTCTGGGTTATGATTAGTACAGTTCCATAACAGAATTTCGCCTACTAAATTTAATTCCAGGCATGACATTTTTTTAAAAGTTACATTGGTCCAGCTTGGATGAAAAGAGGGACTCTGCTTTGCATGCCTGGATGAAAGGGGGATGTATTAATTCATTAAAAGTTTTTGAAAATTAGGTTTTTTTTTTACTTCTATTTATAAAATGTAAGATGTCCTCCTGCTGACAATCTTGGAGACCCCTGGTCTATATGATGGCAACTCAGGAGTTATAGTTGATTTGCACTGATTGGCTGTCTGAATTGTTTGTCTAGATTCTCAAACGAGATAGTTAGGCAACCTATCATAAAAGAAACATAGGAACTACCACTTCCTACATAATAGAGACCTGTCTGTTTGAGGCTACGTTCACACTAGCTTTGTCAGCAGGTGTCAGACAGGCATTTGGGAAGCGTTTTTAACGCTTATCAAATGCCTATGAAAATTCTGCACATGGCAGCACACAGTGCTGTTCACACTGAAGCGTTAGTGTCATGGCAAAAACTGACGCCTCGTTTTGAGTCAGGATGAGTTGAAGCCTCCTATTCAAGTCTATGATGCCGCTCAGCAAATGCCTGGCAGGTGTTTGCGGTGCGGTTGCTGAGCGTTAATACCATTTAACCTCATTATAGGAGTTTGTGGTGCGGCTTTAACGCTTGGGAAACGCCTATCAACTGCCTCAAAACCGCGCATAGGGCATTTTGGGAGCATTAAAAACGCTTCCCAAACACCTGCCTATTGCCTGTCAAACGCTATAGGGGTGTTTGGCAAGAGATAGACATAAAGTCAAGCTAAAATCAAAACGTATTATCGTTATACTTGTTCTAAATCAGAGATTCAAAAGAATGAAGTTGAGGGTCAGCATGGCAGCTAACAAGCAGAATTTGTCAAAAAATAGGCCAGCAATGGCAGCCTCATTGATTATTCCATGACTGATTTCCTTCAAAGAAGAGCGAGAGGGGAAAGGATCTATTAAGTGCACTGTAAGAAAAAATTTGGATGCAAGGTACACTACAAATCGAAAAGTATGTGGACACCTGACCATCAAACCAATATGAGCTTGCTTGACCCCCCATTCCATAATCATGGGCATTAATATGGAGTTGGGCCCCTCTTTTCAGCTATAACAGCCTCCACTTTTTTTTTGGAAGGTGTTTAACAACATTGAGGAATATTACTATGGGGATTTGGGGACATTCAGCCAAAATAACATTTGTAAATTCAGTTACTATTGTTGGATAAGAAGACCTGGCTAGAAATCAGCATTCTTATTTATCCCATAGGTGTTCAGTAGAATTAAGGTCAGGGATCTGTGCAGACCACTTAAATTCATCTACACCAAACTATGTCTTAATGGAATTGGTTTTGTTCACAGGGGCACAGTCATGCTGAACAGAAAAGGACCTTTCCCAAACTGTTGCTCAAGGTTGGAAATGCACAACATACTGAATACTGTATCATTGACAGTACCCTTCACTGCAAAAACACCTGAAGTCAATAATTAGGATGGGTGTCCACACACTTTGAGCCATTTAGGTACATAGGTGTGATGGTTAGGAGTCCATATACATTTAGCCATAGTGTGCACTTTTTCAATGTGTAATCAGTAGATCTTTTTGAAGCTGTGGGTGTGGCATTTACAAAAGTATCCAACATGTGATAACATTTTCTAAACAGATGACTCTAAAGCTTTTTCAAGAACTCTTACTGCATCCTCAGCAATATCTTTCAAGAAGCAATAAAGCATTAAATATGTTGTACCAAATGAGATGCCGCCTGCTGCTGCTGTGCCAATAACAGGTATATTACTAGCTAAGTATTCAATGAACATGAGTGACCCAGCTGCTCCTCTGGTTAATAAGGTGGTGACAAGTTCTTTGTTTATCTCTTTTATCACTATAGGTGACTTGATCACAGACTTCAACTCATCAACATCTTTATCAAATCTGTTAGCGAGCTTTTCAAGAGATCTTTGATCCAGGCCAAATGCATCCCGATATCTTTTCATTTCTCTCACCAAGATGCCAACATCACAAGCCACTGACAGTCCTGGAATAGGGACTGTTGCCACAGCACAGGAGAGACTTGCCCACTTCCAAATCTGCTTCTTTAGAGCTTCTCTTTTCTTTTCTAGAATTGGGCGAGAAATATTGGGCAAACATAACATGAAAACGTGCCGCTTTTGACTCGGAAGTTCCTCTTCTAGAGTCTCTTGCATTTTGATGAAGTCATATTTGTTAAAGTCTAGAGAGGAGAGAAGAAATACCTTTGGATCTTGGATCCCACCATCATATAGGCATTTAACACAGTCATCCCGAATCTCATTCAATATATTCTCTTCGTTATATGACTTTTTCCGACGCATTTGAGAAGCATACATGTCTGAATCTACTTTCGATCGCACAAAGTAAAATTTCTTTCCCATGGACTTGATCTCTTTAGCCAGCTCCATATCATTGTGTCTGAAACGTTCACTTGACATGATTATAAAAAAGTCATATCGATGGAACTCAACAGCTTTGAGGTAATTGTTTGGGCTAAAATTTGGGGTTCCAATTCCGGGTAAATCCCAAAATGTCACGTTTTGGAACTGTAGATGTGGATAGGCTTTTGGTTCCTTAGTGGTTTCCGTGACTCCTGTTTTAGCAGCGCCTTCTTCTTCATCATTATCCAGGCCTCGGATGGCGTTGACAAAAGTAGACTTTCCCGATCCTGCCTCTCCTGTTACTGCAATGTTTAATGGAGCATTTTCAATATCTTTTAGAGACTGACTGATTTTTTCACTTGCTGCACATAGGTCACCTTCTTCTAATGCTGCCCTAAATTCATTCACCTCCTCCTCTGAGATGATATCAAATGATTCCAAGGAATCTGTTTCAGAAAATGTCCTAAAGAAAAATGAAAAGAAAAATAATGTTGCATACACTGCATATGTTTCATGACATTAAATTTGTCACACTCCGAAAAAAAAAAAGTTGCTATGGCATTCCCCCAAAATAGAAGAGATATTATATTCCCCTCTCCTGTGGCCTGTGTCTCCCCCCTTCTCTTCATTTTAGTGCTGCAGCCTCTGTAAGACTTCTGGGAATGTTGGATGTCTGTGTCCCCTGCTGCATGCTGTGGTTTCTTCCTCTGACCTCTATGTCACTACAGGACACAATAGTGATGTAGGGTTCAGAGGATGGAGCCACAGCATGCTGTGGGGTACATGGCCATCCAATTCTACCAAACTTGTCAATACAGAAGAGAACAATGACAGCTAGAGCACCAAGACAGAGTGAAGGTAGGAGACAGAAGACACAGGCAGATGGAGAGGTGAGAATCATACCTCTTGTGTTGAATACATACACCATCACTTTTTTTGACTGACAGGGTCTTGTCAAAGATGGATCCCATACCATCTTAAAAAAAAAAAATCCTTTATACAGTTTAACAATACAGTAACCTTCACAGTTGCCCACATTTTAATACCCCACATGTTACAGAGATGCTACTGCTTCCTTCCATTGAGAATACAGTTAGCATGACAACATATAGGTCACTTTCTGCCATTTTAGTTTGGGACTTAAGCGAATGCCCTGTTTGCCCTGCCCTAATAAAAAGTAGAAAATCAATTCTATTGATCATTTAGAGTAAAAATCACATTTCAAAGATAGTTGAATGAAAAAAAAAATAGCCTTTGCTAGTATACTGAATGTAATTTCTCTGCTTTGGGGATAAAAGGAATCATCCAGTGAGTGATTCAGTTAATTAAATATTACTTAGAGACAGCCTGGTCCTTTAAAGCATATTTAACGCCACAAGCTTTTTTTTCAAGTTTTGGTAGTATTTTTTGGTGGGAATGACCATTGTCACCAAAACAGAAAGTGATGGCAAAACCAAAATGTTATAGCTGTCAACAGAACAGGAATAGAGTGGAATGCTTCCAATAAGAGGGGGGGAATACCTATTCCAATGACAGCTATGTAAGAGGGAATTTTCCCTCACTTTAAAGAGATTACCTCTCACTTCCTGTTTCTCCAGGACAGGAAATAAAGGTAATTCTTCTAATCAAATGAACAGCAAAAAGTAAAATAAAAATATATTTAGTTCCCCACTAATCATGAAATTGTAAAATCTTGATTGCACCAATTATTAATATGGCAAAGTAGGGAGTACATGTTAACAAATCAAAACATTAAATCTTTGCTATATACACACAAAAAAGGAGGGTGAAGGGACTTTTCAGATGTTACTGGTAAGTATACAACATACATAACCAAATCTTTGGTTACAAATAATTATGAAAAAAATCCTCATATAATCAGCATATTTTTTAAATGTTAGGTACAAATATCTTCCATATATACTCCAACATAGCTGTGTTAGGTAAAAACTTTTCAAAAAGCAAAATAATATGAAATTTATATGAAACATATCAAGTGTCCATCAAAAATGTCCTTAAAGTCATGCAGTGCTCTGTGCTCCTGAGTACACTTCAATGGCAACCAATTTCCTTGTTAATTTCTGTGAAGATAAATCAGCCATGTGCCACTACCCAACTTAGCACAAGCAACTCACTGGATCATCATGACCCTCTGATATAAATGAGGGTCATGCAGGGCTTTTCCCCTTTAAGGAAGAAGGACCCCAGACCAGTGGTTCTCTCTCTCCCCCCCCCCTCCTTTAAAGGGGAAAAGTACTGCATGACCCTCATTATATCAGAGGGCCATGGTGATCCGCTGAGTTGCTTGTGTAGCCAGGTACAGGCTAGTCATTCTGCAATTCAGAGATATCTGCTGCACGGACTGAGATTCCTTTTTTCCCCCTCCAGCGCAGAGTAGACACACAATTTCCTGCTGACAGAGTGGCACGTGTGTGAGAAGCAGAGGATCTTGGGACCTGTAGTCACATCGCCTAGTCACACTGTATTTTTCATTATGGCCAGGACTATATTTACTAGAGAAGAGATATTCCCCTGCAGCAGCCTTGCTTGTTCTCTTGGCAAGGGGGCTTGGAGGCTGACAGAGGGGACTGTGTTTGTTATCCTTCCAAGACCAGGCCATGGCTCCACCGACCAGTATAGTAAGCCTGCTCGACCGTCCAGCATCACCCAGCACTTCAGCGTTCCATGAATCACAGTAATCTCTGGGAATTGGGTCGGCCGCTGCTGAGCACTTTGCAGGAGTCACTACCCACTGAATTGATTGGTTGTCAGGAGGCAATCTGGAGCCACGCTACTCTGCCAAGAGCCTGACTCTCCATAGCAGATTTTGAGTCATCTCCCAGGGGTCTGGTGAGCCGGTGCAAGCCCAATATTATCCCTGACACAGTATCCCTGACCCAGACTCTGCATGCAGACAACGTTAAAATGACAGTAGGTGCCATTTGTGGTCCTGGGGTGGGGGTATATTCAGTGACAGGTGCGGTGAGTGCGGCCCGCACCGGGTGACACCGACCGCATGGGGTGACACCGGACCCGCTCCACGAAAAGGTAAGTTGTAAAGCAAGCCGACGATCCCCGCAGGATGGATCTGATCCATCCTGCAGGTATCGTCAGCTTTCTTTACAACTTACTTTTTCTTGGAGCGGGTCCATTGTCACCCCATATCTGCGGGGATCATCGGCATGCAACCTATAGGGGGTGACGCCGGACCCGCTCCAAGAAAAAGTAAGTTGTAAAGAAAGCCGACAATCCCTGCAGGATGGATCGGATCTGCAGATTGAGCATAATGGTTTGGAGTCCGATACATTATGCTCAATCTGCAGATCTGATCCATTCTGCGGAGATCGGAGGGGGTGTCACCAAGAGTTACCGCACCGGGTGACACAAACCCTAGGGACGCCTCTGGGTATATTACTCTCCAACACGTTTCAAAGGCTATCCTGCCTGCTTCATAAGGAAGCATATATATGTTTAAAAGCAGACACATATTCCAAAAACAGAGGAATAGAGGGGAACGAAGGCCAAAAACCATCACTAATATAGGCTGACAATCCAAATTATACTCACCAGCAGGATACTGTCAAAGACCTACTCCACAATCCAATTCAATGCCACATTTATGGAATTATGTCTGTTACCTTTCATATGGAATTCTTTATAGTAGGGCATGTACAGTCAGTGTGGGTTGCGACAAAAGGATTCTGTGGCCATATACTAAACTAATTGCAAATCCCATTAGCTTATATCTCACCCAGCAAATTCCTCACATAAAAAAAGAGTGTTACACATCATACCTCCCACATATCCCAATTTCCTTTTGTAGCCATATGATGTTCCCCAAAGTATTCTTCCCTTCCACTGCCATACTTTTTGGGAACTGCATCTCCCTTCCTTGTCAGTGGAAGGGGGGAATATTTTGTGGAAGTAGAAGGGAGGACTAGGTATCAACAAAAAAACCCCAGAAATCGCATTGTGAGATTAAAACAGATTTCCATTAAAGGGTCAGTACATCCAAAAGTGACATTTTAAAGTGGTACTAAACCCAGGACCCTGCATTCACTATATCTGGTCTCCCTGGACCCTGCATTCACTATATCTGGTCTCCCACAGTACACAGAACATGGAAATGCAATTATTTTAGTAAATATAAACTGCTAAATACCTTTTCTCATTAGCAGTATATAGAAGTCTTGTGATTTCTATCAGTGTCCAGCAGAGCAACTGGTTAAAACTTGTAGGAAGAGTTTTAATTTCCTTCTGACTGTCCCATGAGGCTGCATGACCCCTGATCCTCTGTCTGGACAGTGATGATTCGCCCTGTGTCGATCACATGCCCCCCCCCCCAAAAAAAAAAAAAAAACTCTAGCAATACACACCAAACTAAGCAGAAAAGACAGGATCAAATGGCCTTTTTACACAATGCAGAGGATTAACCCCTTAGGTTCCACAGTGAGTATAACAAGCATGCTTTACTGTATATACAGACTGATTTTGCTGTTGTGGGTTTAGCAGCACTTTAACTATAGTTGGAGCCTAGTGAGCCAGCCCCTGCCTACTCATATGTCCTGGATACCACAATTTTCCTGCCATAATTTCTGACACTTGTCGACCTGGGAGTTTTATGTGTTACTGTCCAGTGCCCACCCTTGTGTTCTAGCTCCTCCTGTTGCATTCTCCATAATATAAAATAAATAAGAGATACAGCAGGGAGGGAGGGAAGACCCATACTGGCCACATTTTCTCTATAGCCAAGTGAATGTGAAATATTTAATTTTTTTGTAATCTTATATCCAGCCAGTAAATGGATCTATTGCACTCTCACCTTATAAACCCAGTAGGGCTCTGGAAACCCTTTGTCAAGTGAACATACTGTATTAAATGTTTACAGTATTTATGAAACAATATTTCTATATACAATATCAGTTAGAAACAAAACAAATTCCCCAAAACATTATAGTTTCCCTTTAAGAATATTTATTTTAAAATCTATATAAAATCTTTTGCTGTGTAAAACACATTGACATGTACAGTATAAGATACTGATTTTCATTGATTCTCTACATAAGTAAATGTTCCTTTCCTATAACAAATAAAGTGGATATAGAATCTAAAATATTCAACATTCCATTGATTATGCTATACCTCTTTTCCTTTTTTTTAGCAACAAAAATCTGAAAAAGCCTCCTAACCTTCACCAAAAAAGCCTCCTAATCCAAATGAGGTTTTGGCTGGTGGTAGGTTTAGGGATAACCAGTACTTAGGAAATATTAAGGCAACCATTGTTGGTTCCTCCTTTTGAAAATATGAGTTATCTGGTTGTCATTCAGCTGCAAGGTCTTCAATGCTTTCTGAGTGACTGGCCCAAAACAAATACGCAGTCTAATGGGCTGTGACCCAACTCAGATTTTCCTGCTTCAATCTTGTTATGGGTCAGCAACATGGTAGCTACAGCATTTCTCTTAGGGGTGTCCATTACAGCAACCCTGTGCCACCCGTCACTTTTAAAGAAAGTCCACCCCCCTGTAAAAGAACATGCTTTCCAGGTGACTTGTGCCTTCAAAAACTTTTCTACTTTGCTGCCTCTAGAACTCACTTCTGGCTGTGTTAACTACTTTCACTGCATTCCGTGGTTCCTTCAACTGGCTCATGCATCCTGTAATGATGTAAAGCCAGCAAAAAGACAAAATAGTGCAGTGAAAGGCAGATATTCACATGCTTGGAACTGTGGAATATCTGTAGTGTTAGAGCTGCAAACTGCCCAAATTTAAAGACACAGGCCATCAGAAAAGAAAAACAGCATGGGTTTGCTTTACAAATGACCCTGTGGTGACATGGTCACTTTTATCAGATGAGAAGCCACAGTAGAACTATATTCCATATACTGTAGAATGGTCCAAATTATCAACGATGAGGTACCCACTTATCTTGAACCTGATACGCTAGCTCATGTATCAATGAACTACCTTCTTGATTTGTGACCTGTGGCTGGCAAATGCTACATAAGAAATGTACCTGGCTTCTGCTCATCTAATTTTTTTTATGAACACACATGACTGAGGGACATGTAGAATATTGAGGCTAGTACTTACCACCTACCTCTTAACAACCACCATCTCCCCCCCGGAATAACCACGCGACTCTCCTTTTCTTTGGTGAAAACCGGCCATAGCAGCCCCATTTATTTACATAACTCTTACAAGAAAACATAACATTTTGGTACAATTACACCATAATAACTGACATTAACAACCCCCTCCCCAACCGGGTCCCAGGTCTTCGAAGGCACTGTTACATCGATAACTTGGCTGTATCCGACTCCCACCGAAAAGGCCCCCAGCCGCTGCCACACCGCCTCGGGGACAATACTACAAACTACGTAGTCCCAGATACAGCCAATGACCTCCCCACATTACCAACCACCTTATAACTGGGAAGGGACACCCATACCTACGATGGGCCCAACACATAATCCACCAACTCATCACTCCAGCACCGCCTTCAAAGACCCAGCGACCCCCTTCCTGCTACCATGACAAACAGAAACAAGCAGCCCCCCAAAACATCAAAATTGTAGAGCAAGAAAGGAAGGAAGGAACCCACACCGAACAACACAGGGTAAACACAAAAAGGAACAAACAATAAACAAAGCAAAACAGGAAGCAAACCCACTAACCAGCTCCAGGGAGGGTGGGCAGGAAAAACCTCACCCTTGCTGGCACAAGCTCCGACTAACCCCCGATAAATTCCAGCCCCCTTTCCTCATCCTGGCAAGACCACCCTCTAGCCCGATTGCTCCAATCCGGTAAACAACCATCCCCCATCTCCTATGCTCCCCCACACAAGCTCCCGTCTCCGCCTCGTCTGCAAGCCCCAGTCATGCTGGCCCTCCCTTTAGTTTCGCTCATCCAGGCCCTGACTTTATGTATCACATAGTTGCATAGGATACTGGGATATTCCTTTATAAAGAAATATTGCTTTACATTTGCACATATGTGTAGCCTTTATCACAAATAAAAATGTGTTGAACATGCAGGCATGTTATCGTTCTTGTATTGTAAGCTCTTTTTCTAGTGTCTTCTTAAAGAAATGGAAGTCATACTTTTCTAGTTCTAAGCATGACAGAAGAAATACATTTGGCAGGCTTATTCCACAGTCCATAAAATTTTTCACACAGTTATCTCTAACATCTGTCAAAATTCTCTCTTCATTGTAGGTCCTCCTTCTACGAAGTTTGCTGGCCTTCAAGTCACAGTCAATTTTGTTTCTTACAAAGAAGAATTTCTTCCCCATTGACCAGAGCTCTTTGGCCAGTTTCATGTCATTCTCTCTAACTCTTCCTGATGCTATCATGATAAACAAGTTGTATTGATGGGCATTTACAAGTTTTAGATAGCTATTTGGGTCAAAACCAGGGGTTCCTGAGCCAGGATGGTCCCAAAACAAGACATTGTTATACTGAGGATGTGGGTAAGCTGTTGGATATTTTGTGGTTTCTACCACTCCAGTTTTAGCAGCACCTTCAATTTCATCATCATCAAGACCCCGTATGACGTTGACAAAAGTGGACTTTCCAGATCCAGATTCTCCAATTACAGCAATGTTCACTGCAAGATTTTCAGTGATCTTCTCTTGTTGAGTGATCCTCCCAGCTGTGTCACACAATGCAGTTTCCTGCAATACATTTATGATCTCTCGTAGCTCAGTTTCGGACACAGCATCACCTCTTGATGTGTCATCACTTTCTTGTAGAGCTTGTGCAATCTCCCGTATTTCCTCATCAGAAAATGTATTAAATCCATAATCTGCCTGCATTCTTATGGTTGAACCAGACTCCTGAAGAAAAGGAACATCAACCATGACTGGACAGTATTGGCACATTAAAAGATATCAGCATAGAAAGATTAATTTTGGTTGGTATTTTTGTTGAATTTTGTTCATTGTTCTCTTATAAAATTGGGTCAGTTATAAAATTAAACTATGGAGGAGTTCAGTAATTCTGTCACTGATAAAACCTCTATCTTTATTAGGAATATTTATTAGTTTGGAAAGACCAAATTCCTTCACAGGCTTAACAAAATTTGGTGCATTCAGTAAATGTGAATAGATTAGGTGGGAGTTCATAGGTCAAGTGTTGGGGTTGGGGAATATGAATATGCCTTTTAAAATGGGAGATATGCATAACAGAGCACCCAGGGATTTGGAACTCATTGAGTTCCACACGTTATATATAAATGTTAGTTTTAGGACAATACTTTTTTTTAAACAGGCAGTGTTATTGACGCTTATTACGTTTTCTACTGAATTAAACCATGTCAATATGAGAAAATGCATAAAAAGTTGAAATGGTGACATGTATGACTTGGTGTGGCAAGGTCTTGTCTTTTGTGTAAGAGTTTGGTTGCAAAATGTGTCTCAGATAAAAAATGGTTAGTTTTTTTACTCTAAATATATCACTTAAAGATGTAGCATTATGGACACACATAACTATGTGAACTGGCATGACAAATGTTCTATACAAAAGTATTTTATGAATTAAACTGGACAATGACTACTCTATGAGCTTCTTGGCAAACTTATATCTCACAGATGGCTGTCTTGCTCAGAGGATGGAACAATAAAACATGCCCCGGGCCTACAGATAAAGAATCCTCAGACTATCATGACAGCTGTGGGGCTCTTCCAGATTCTTCCATATTCCCTATACCCAGATATTTCTATCAGTCCAATGTCCTGGAGCTCCTCCTCGAGTTCATTATTATTATTATACAGGATTTATATAGCGCCGACAGTTTGCTCAGTGCTTTACATTAAGGTGGGAGACAGTACACGAGACAGTACAGTAACAATATGATTCAATACATGAGGGGTTCAAGGGCCCTGCTCCTTGGAGCTTGCAATCTAGGAGGGAGGGGATAGTGGTACAGGAGGAAATAGCTGTATGGGATGGAATGGTAGGAAGAGTGGAGGATTTCAGTAATTAGCTGAGGGCAGGGTAGGCTTCCCTGAAGAGAGAGGTTTTCAGAGTGCGTCTAAAGGTGAGCAGAGTAGGTGATAGTCTGATGGATTGGGGTAGGGAGTTCCAGAGGATGGGGGAAGCCCTGGAGAAGTCCTGGAGATGAGCATGGGAGGAGGAGACCAGGGAGCTTGAGAGTAGGAGGTCTTGTGTGGAGCGGAGAGACAAGATTGGTGATGTAGTTTGGGGCAGTATTATGAACAGCTTTCTAGTTCATACCCACAGATCTACAACACATTGCTGTTGATATGACTCTGTGTCAGGGTCCTGTTCACGGCAGAAGTTCTGGAAGATCTGGCATTTCTGCCAGTACCCTGCATGGCCACAGAAGCACACATTAGCCTCAGTTAGGTGCCAGACGGCCTTTATAAGGAGGCTCATCACTTCCTCAAGTTGCTAGATAATCTCTAGCTCCTTGTGCCTTGTTCCTGTGATTTTCTGATACCGACTCTGCTTGCTCTTGAACCTGTCTACTCTGCTTTACCCCTGACCTGACCTCGGCTTGGCTTACGGATACTCTTTCTCTCGCTCTTCTGTGTATGACCTCAGCTATCCCATCTGACTACGTCTGCTCTGATTCCCACCTGGTACCCAACCTTGGCTTGAACTGGCTATCCAGTAAATCTCTAAATCCCAGAAGGGCTTGCATACCTCGCACAGGCGCCACCTGTCTGCAGAACTATCTCCGTACATCAGCTGTGCTTCTGGGTGGACCACCAACCAGTACTCCTACAGGCGACCTGTGCCACTTTGGGCCTGACTCCTGCTGTCCCACTCTCAGGGGAGTCTGGAACTTAGCCGCAAGGGAAGCCCTCTCTCCACTGGCCTCCATCACCAGGTACGTGATACTCTGCCACCATGACAGTCTTATCAGTCAATCCTATCCACTGTTCCTCTCCAAGGGAAGTTTTGCTCTTTATCAAACAAGGTACAGATACCCTTCTAACTGCTCTCTGGTTGGTGAGATATCAAACAGGTCACTATTCACTTGCTGGAATTATTACCAAATGTGGTTCTGGTAATTTTTTTTAGGGGGCAGTAAGGGGTCTGACTTGGAGAAAAGTTCTAATGCTCCAATGGCAATGACCTCCAACAGTCTCCTTTGTATTTCAATTGTGTTTATTAACTTTTTTAAACAATTTAACAAGGATAAGAGCAAAAGACACACCCAAGCAGGGGCTATGAATGGTGCATAAAAAATAAAGAAATGAGTATTGTAATGCCAACAATGCAAGAGAACAATGCAAAAAAAAGGAGTAAAAAGGAAGAAGAAAACAAGACCAGAAGCAGGGATTCGCGAACGCATTTACCATACAGTGTCATAAACCCAGACTAGCCGGGGGAAGCATGGGAAAAGCGTATGTCAACCACGGCTCCTATATTTTCAAAAATTTTCATTGGGAGTCATTACGGATACTCCACATCTGTTCAATGAGCATCAGAGTGGTCATATGGTCCCGCACCCGCTGAAGAGGGACAGACGGGCTCTTCCATGCCTGGGCAAGTGTTCTAGTGGCCAACAGATAGGAAGCCAACTTCCGCTGATGAGCCAACAGGCCTGGTATAGGACAGTGAAGCAAAGCATACCGAGCTTCTCGGCGTATGGAGAAATGAACAAGGTCTAAAGAAGGCCAAAAATGAAGCAGTCTCAGACATGACCACCATATATGCAACACATCTCTACGATAGCCGCAACCCCAAAAGCAGCGATCACTATAGGTAGGGTTCGGCTGGGCTATACTAGTCGGGACTCAGTACCAACGAAACAGTGCTTTGTATGCCACCTCTAGCGTGGCCGTAATAAATGAACATTTAGATAACGACCAGGCCTTATTCCATTCCTCCAGATCCACAACTGTACCCAAGTCACGCTCCCACTGGACAACATATGATAGAGAATTACGCATTGGGTGCCTATTCAAGGATGCATAAAGTAGGGAAACAAGACCACCCAGATGCTGTTGGCAATGCTGTTAAAAAGGCTTATTTCTGATATGGAAAGGCAGAAGTGCCATGCAGTGAGGTCAACCAGTGCCATAATTGAAGGTAACAGAGAAATTCTGCCTGAGGGATACCCCATAATTCCCAAAGAGAGTTCCAGGTGGGGAAGGATTGAGAGGTCAAAAAGTGTTGCACCTGCAAAAACCTGTTGGCCACCCACCAAGAGAATACCCCTGGTTGATCTAGCAGTCTCTTTTAACATGTTCCCAGTTGCTTACAATCCCTTGCAGCATGTCCCGTTTTAAACTTAGCCTGTAGAATGTCTGCAATCTTTTGCCACATCCTGTCACATGCCTGTGGTCTCTGACCATCTACTGTAGTATATCTACGGTTGACTGTCCTTCAGATTTTAGAGAGGCCAGACTGTGGCCAGTGGGAGCAGAAAATGTCCTGGCATTGGTAACAATGCCCCATCATTGGTGTCCATGAGAGGAACAGTACCCCATTATTGGTGTAAGTGGGAAGAATAGTGTCTCATTGTTGATGTCAATGGAAGGAATAGTGCACCACTGTTGGTGTCAGTAGCGGGAATTATGCCCCATTATTAATGTCAGGGGGAAGAATAGTGCCCCAAAAGGATGGGTAAAGGCAAGCAAGGGCCCACAGTTTGGAGACCACTGTTATATATGTAGCACTACCCTTTAGGGGTCCCTGAAGTATTGGGTCCCCCTATAGCCCTACACAGTCAGGCAACACGCATTTTCACAATAACTTGCATCCAGGAGACAGTAACCAGTTTTGTAGCTTTATTAGTGGATTTGAACTGCGATAGGGTTAGGGTTGTACGGGATGTCCAATGGAAATACAAAACCAAGGACAACTTCCTAGAACGTTACACAAGTTTACTTACAGCAGATATTTTCCTCTTAGAGAGCTAGCCAGCATATCTGGTTGTGCCACCCCAGACCCTAGATTCAGCCTATCTGGGTGAGTCCCTGAGCAGGGGATCCAGTGCTTCTCAATTTAAAGTAAGACAGTCTCAGGTAGCCGCTAATCTGATTTCCCAGAAGAGTGCTCCTACCCCTATCTACTCACTTAGTACTTCTCCTGTGTTGCTGGTGGGTCATTGGCTGCTATCAGGCCTAATAGCTGGGCCACTCCTTCCCTGCCACACAGGTGGTCCTCTCTCAGGGGGCCGGTGAAGCCCCAAGCTTTCCTCCTTCCTAGATTCCTGCCAAGAGGTGAGCCCCTTTCCTATCTGGGCCCCCTCCCAGGCTCCTGCTCTATAGCCTAGGCTTCTTATCTTCCACCCAAACTCTGCTCCAACTCTCTCCCTGCTGAGCAGGCTCAGTTACTCTTAAAGGCTGTCCTGGCCCATTGCCAAGCCTCCTGTTGGGGTATGGCCAGGAACCTCTAAGAGTACAGACCAACCACTCGTCATCTCCACCCACTGCTTCTAGATCTTTCTACAAAGTTCAAGAGTAGGGGGACATCCCAGAGAGCTGGTCTTCAGAGCCTCTCAGTTGTAACTTAAATCCAGCTCACCTGGCTATTACACTCAGGCTGCTACTCAGCCTTTAACAATTAAAGCTAGAGCTCCCCCTAGCTAACTAGGAGGTTGCAACATATACATACATGTTGATTCCATGACTTCAATACTTTTGCATCATTACCTGAACAAATATGTAAATCTAGAGCTCTGGCCTTGTTTGGACTTCACCTACTACATCCTTGTTACATAGTTAGTCTGGCTGAAAAAAGACATCCAGTTTAACCATCCAGTTGTTGTTAGTCAGTGACTCAACGTATTAAGCAAGGACAAAACCAGCCAAGCAATATTTTCAGAAAGTCTTATGTCAGGTCTCACATTTCTGTTTGT